GATTTAACCAGAGAGTTAGCTGTATTTTTCATGTTGTTTTTTGTTTTCATTTCTTTAAAAAAAATATAGAACTAAAGTACCATAAGTTTATGTTCTCAATGAAAAAAAAAAAAAAAAAAACAATCAAAACAAATATACATAAGAATGTCAAAAGATAAACAAATCAAAAATATTAAATTAATTAAACATGCGAAGTAAACCAAATTAATTTCTTTGAATTTTCAATTCTTTTATTTTCTTTATTCCACATTTTAAACTTATAAATAAACAGTTTTTAATAAAATTTAAGTTTTTTTGTTTTGGTAAACAGCTGTTTGTTTTTGATTTCAGTGTTACCACTTTATCGTTTTTTATGCTAAAATCGTTTGAATTTTTTGTTTATATGTTGAAATAAACAATTGGCAACACTAAACTTTCTTACAACATTCGAAAAACATATGAAAAATTGTCGTAGGAGTTTTTTGAGTTTTGCATAGAAAATACCAACAACATTGTTATGACTATTGTAGTAGCTGCTGACATACAACTCTACAACATCGATTGAGAATTGAACATATATATTATATATTATGTATACTACATGAAAAGAAGAATCTTTTTGTTTCAGTTTAAAGTTGATGTTTTGTAAGTGAAGTTGTGTATTGTTAAAAAAGTTATTTTATTGTAAAAATTTTAAATAATTATGATGATCTAAAAAGCAGGAACGGATTTAAAAATTAAGGTAAATTTATATTATACATTCTAGTTTTAATACTGACAATTTACTCTTGTTTTTTTTTACAGAAACTGTAAAGGACGATGGCCGAGAATTTCAAAAGAAAATTAAAATTAATTTCATTTATCTTCGTTAAAATTGTTTAATTATATTTTTATTGAATTAACTATAATACATGTTTATTATTTGATGATCATTTTTAAATAAACTTGCAAAATTTTAAAATAAATATAAAAAATGTATATTTTTTTCCATAACAAAATCGGAAGACATGTTAATGAGACGCCTATAAACGCTTGCAAATAAGAATGTAATGTATGTAGATTACAATCCTATTTGTATTTGTAAGTTAAAGTAAACTTACAAATGCAAATAGAATTGTAATCTACATACATACAACTTCGCTTAGAACTCCACACATTATGTAAGTGAAATTTTAATTTGTCTTAATGAGCACATCGATGAGACAGCCTAGGACACTTTTATGTTTAATCTAAGTGGAAGAATAAGTGAAAGCATCACCACTGACTGCCACGAAATATCACTTAGATAAGCGAGTACATAATGTGTATTTTTACCGCAGGGAAACTAAACACAAAACAAAAACAATTTAGTTTATGAAATTATACACAGAGAATATTTTCAAAAGCCGTTACAAATAAATGTTAATATGAATACTTTTGACAGATTTATTACACACATAATTATATATAATTATATTTGTATTTTAATTTATTCAAGCAATTAATTGCCAAAATTTTATTGGTTAACCGATCGACGATTAATCATTTAAATACCTAATTGACACATGTAACAATATATAGAAAACATACAGTATATCAGTGTTGCTCAAACACACTACTACCATAGAGTACCATAGTTTTATTTGTGTTGGTAAAGCAGCAGAGAACAGAATTCAATTCAAAATAAAAGTATACTAATAAAATGACTATAAACTATAAAGTACATATATGCTAACTGTCAAATGTTTATTATGGATTTTGACAGCCAGCGTATATCAAAGTCTATATATAAAAAACTATCAACTGTTCTCTCATGTTCTCCTACATTAATTCGGCTTTCTCAAAATTTTGTTGTTGTATTTCTGTGTGTATTTTAAAAAAGTCGCGTACAGACCTTGCTTCGACAAGTGCTGATCAGCAACTGATTTGATTTTGTTTTTCAAGTTGAGAGCAAACCCACTGATATTGCTCATTATAAAAAGAAGAAGAATTAAACCTATAGTGTATGTGTATCAACTTAGCGTCAGCAGAATTTTCTTACCCTATCACGCGTGCTATGTAATGGCAATCTTGCGCTCCTCTGCAGTATATGCATTAATACCTACATACATACATTAATATATAAAACCACGATCGGCAACTCCTATACACAGTGTATTTTGGCAGTTACAAAATTTAGACAGACTACTCACACGCATAGAAAACACAATTCAGTCTCATATGAGCTGTCCTTGAAGGAGGTTGTGTTGTCGCTGGTTTCTTGCTTTTGCAATGAAAATGAACGAAAATATAATTATGCAGGTATAGATAATTCTAATTATCGTGGACTTTTTTAGCATCTACACTACATATTAAGTAGTTTTTAGAATTATAAACTTTATAAATGTTTTTTCTAACAACCTTAGTAGCAAATAACAAATATTTACCTAAATATATATGTAATTATGTTAAATCTTGACCCTTAATGGGTATATAGTTCATTAAAAACTTAGTTTTTTTTATTTCTATTTCAATATTTAAAATAAATATGTGCAAATAAGCCCAAAAATATTTGCTACTTTTAAAATAAAAAAATATTCGTTTTGTTTTAGATTAATATTACATATTTCTAAATTTCAGTTTTCCACGCATGCCTTATTGTGAAGATGAGAGTACAACTATTTCTCATTTCTTGTTTTTACGCTCTTACACTTATACAAGTGCAAAATGTGGTAGTATATGTCTGCTGATCGCGGACATAAAACAACAAATACAACAATACGTACATACATCAATGCATAAATCAATACATTAAAACATATGTATGTACATAAATACACGCGTAAAAAGTTATGAGTAAAAATTTCAGACTACCTCGAAAAAATTACGTTTTTTCCAATTCTTAAGTAATTTTCTCAGAAATTGCAAAAGATATTTCGATGTATTTTGTAACACATTATTTTTTAGTCTGGGATCAAGTATGTTCAAAATCATAACAATTGATCCAATATTTCCCATAGCCCCCATACAAAGGTATACATACATATATTCCCAGAAATTAGTTTATCGTTAATAACTCCTTCAAATATATCGGTATCAACACAACATTTTGTACATGCAAATATAATATAAACAGAAATCATACTACCAACGTAGATCTGTTTCGGTCCACAATTGGTCATGGCTCCCATATAAGGTCCACCTCCGAAAATCACTTAAACGCACATATTTCATTGAAATAAAGCTATTGTGATAAAATCCGAGTTGAATATGTTTTGTGTACATATAAATCATTCTACAAATTTTTTTTCGGATCGGTTAATTATTGGTCATAGCTTCCATATAAGGTCCACTTCCGAAAATCACTTAAACCCATATATTTCATTGCCAAAAAAGCTATCTTGTCGAAATTCGACACAAATATGTTTTATCTATATATGAATCACTCTTCGAAATTTTTGTCGGATAGGCCCGTAATTGGCCATACCAAAAGGTACACTTCCAAATATCACTTAAACGTATATATGTCTACGAATAATAAAGCTATCGGGATAAAATTCTACTTGAATAAGTTTTGTGTGCATATAAATCATTCTACTAAATTTTTTTCTGATCGCTCCATATTTGGTAATAGCTTACATAAAAGGTCTACTTTAAAAAATCACTTAAACGCACATATTTCATTATCAAATAAAGCTATCTTGATAAAATTCGACACAAATATGATAATGTACATATGAATCACTCTACGAAAATTTTCCAGATGGGCCAGTGATTGGTCCTAGATTTTATATAAAGTCCACTTCCGAAAATCACTTAAACGCATATATTTCATTAATTAAAGTTAATTAATTAAAAAGCTATTGGAGTAAAATTAGACTTGAATTTTTTTGCATATACATAAATCATTATACGAAATGTTTTCCTAATCGGTCCATAATTGGTAACAACTCCCGTAAAAGGACCATTTCCGAAAATTATTTAAACTCACATTAACAATCAACGTTTTTGGGATAAAATTCGACATAAATGTGTATTTTGTATATATAAATCATTATACGGATTTTTTGCGGGATCGGTCCATAAGTTGTCTTACCTCCCACATAAGGTTCACTTCTGAAAATCACTTAATACCACTTAATTCGTTATTAAATGATTATATCCGGATAAAATTCGACATGTTCGAGTATGTTCTCTGTATAGATAAATCATTATATTAAAATGATTTCGAACTGACCTATTAATATAAATTTTTCTGGGCCTAATCAAATTTAGTTCCACATATGCATAAATGTTAGTTAGTACCCCCAATACGGAAACACAAAAAAATTTTTAAATTATCTAAAAATTAGGTAGTTAAATGGGTTCTAATAACAATTATAGTACTCTAACTTGTTCATTTTCAAATTGGTCTTAATAACTTTGCATGAATAGAATTTTTGTTTCAAGAAGTTATTACAATAAGAGCGGGTTTTTGAGATGGTAATCAAATGCCAATTAATAATCAGATTAGTTAGTCTAAAAATAAATTTAATCTTATGTTAATCCCCTTTGATGTTTTTGAGTACAAGATTAAACTTCGCAGTGTTGCCATACAAAACAACAGAAAATGTCACTGTTTGTTATCAAAACAATGCATATTTTATAAAAAAGAAGAAGACAATTGTAAATTTAATATGAAAATTAATGAAAACTTAAATTAGAAACAAAAAAATTTATTTTGAAGTGTCCATAATTTATACTAATCAATAAATAGAACATTTTAATGTTTATATTTATAAAAATTTTATTAATTTTTTTGCATTAGCTGTTTACACTTTTGCATTTCGTGCTTAAGATTAAACCACCTCCATTGGGCGCATAAACTTGCAAACAAAATTAACTAATTGAGTACTCAAAAACATCTTTCGAGGATTAATTTTAATTTAATCGCTAATCTTTCACCTAAAGATTGGCCCTAAATAAACCTTTTATTAAATACACTGACTCAGTTATCTTTTGTTGTTGTGTAATTTCCTATATTCTGAATTATTTAAATAAAGTTTCTAAATGACATTTCTTACCTTCTTCGGTATGTACTTCTAAATGGCCAGCTTCGATTAGTTGCAAGAGAACATTTTGTGGTACATTAGAGTTATCAGTTGGTTGGTGGATACGAGTTTCTAATGAATGAAGCCCATTTTTGTTTCCCAAATTGCCTTTCTGTAAATATTTGCAAATTCGTTTTGATTCAAAAGTTGTTGGATAAAACATTTCTTTTTTATTATCTTTATTATCGGTACTGGTGCTTTTACAATCACTTGAATCAATGTTAATGATATTTTCCTCCGGTGCAGATTCGGTATTAAGGCAATTATTGCTGCTAACATTTGTAATACCTTCGAGGTCTGATGACTCATCAGAATCATTTGTTGATGAAATAGGAGATCGAACTTCCTGAAATGAAAGATGTAACAAAAAATTAGCATTAGTATTCTTTATATCCCAATAAACACTCAAAAATTCAAATTCAAGGATAATTTATTTGTTATATATAATTTCTTATTTTGTACTTATAAATTTTCTTTATTACAAAACGTTACACACAGAAAAAAGATCGATAAGAAATCGGTTTCCATTATAAATATTTAGTAAAGTTAACTAAAATTCCATCGCCGCTATTAAAAAACTATACATTTAAGTAATTTTCTATATTTAGAACTGAAAATCTATGATTGTAATCAAATTATGGTTTTAACAATTTCCGAATTATTATATTAACCAAATTAATCTTTCATATAATTTTTTTTTCTAATTCGGTAAATACAACCGAATTAAATTTAGCATTCAAATGTAATTATTTCAAATATTAGTATTTGTAACCGAAAAATAGGTTGAAGCTACAAATTTTTAGGTAAATAAACATTATTCCTCCATCACAACCAATTATCAGTAGAAAAAGTTAAATAGTCTAAATAAATTCGAAATTTCCAACCGATTATTGACGTTGTTGACGTCTACAAAAATATTTATTAAAAAAAATTGTTATTTACAAATATTTGGAAAAGATAAATGGAATTGCTGTTGCGGCTTGATGTTTAATGATACAGGCGTATAAAATAGAAAAAGGTAATGTTCAATCAAAAATCCATTTTGTAGTTGCTTTTAAGAGATTTCATTGCGTTTGCAGGAATTAAAGCAAGTAACTTAAATCTACAAGAAATGCAAACTGTTCAACGTAGAATATTTCGCCAAAAACTGAAAGAAAAGTCGCTCCAACCAAAGGTCAAACATGTACATAATATTCCCCTAAATGAGATGCGAGAAGTATTTAAAATGTGTGTATCTAAAAGCAATTTTACATATTTTATAAAATGTTATTGTTTATAAATAAAATCCACAAATAAATGCATAATAATTAATATTTCAGTTGTAAATACTAATAGTTTCAATTCTCATTACCGAATTATTTTTTTAAAATAATTCGGAGTTTCATGTATTCGGAAATGCTAATCGAATTTTTCAGTTACTGCAATAGAATTATGTGGTAGTTGTTAGAACCGACTAAATTCGATTGGAAACAAATTCGGTTACTCCAACGAATCTGTTTTCTCTGTGTACGAAATATATTCTATATTCGCATTTCTTTATTTCAAGCAACAAACCTCACCAACTTATAATTCCTCTTCCTGAGAAATTATAAGTTGATTAAAATATTTATTTTATTTTAAAATAAATATTTATTAAACAAAATAACGACTTTTATACATGGTCCTTCGAACCGGATACATGATCCTTCTCGCCTTCAGAGGTTGAACCAGTGGCTTGGACAAATTTAGAAGTTCTCAAGAATTTGAAGTTGTTCCCATCAACGGTTTGCCGACGGAAAATCAAGCAAGTAAAACAAAAGCTGAACCAAAGTGAGTATTCATGAAATTTTTTTGTTATGTGAAAAATTTGCCAAGTGAAAAGTGCCAATGATAAAAGTGTTGTACTAAGCCAAAATTTTATAATTTGCCAAAGAAAAATTAAAAAAAAAGTTTTCATAAACAAAATCTGGAAAAGTGCCGTGAAAAGCCAAAAATTTGTTATAAAATCTGGAAAAGTGCTGTGAAAAGCCAAAAAAATAAAAATAATTTTTTTTTTTATACAAAAATCTGGAAAAGTCCCATGAAAAGCCAAAAATTTTTATATAAAAAAAATTGGAAAAGTGCCGTGAAAATCCAAAAAAATTTTTTCATATAGAAAAAATTATAAAGAGCTGGAAAAGTGCAAAATTCCAAAAAATAATTTTTTTTTTAAAGATGGCGAAAAATTTTAATTTTCCAAAAATGCCACAAATTTCCAAAATAAAAATGTCGGAATATTAACAAAATAAAAAAATCTTTTAAAGTGTATTTAAATTGCCGAAAAAAAATTTAAAAATAAATATATAATTTTCTTCCTAAACATATCTGTGAAAAAAGTGAATAATTTCTTTTATTTAAATTTGCAAAAAAAAAATTGTTATGAGTGCATAAAATGTACAAAAAACCACCACCTTTTTCATGATAAATGTGATCAAAAAAGTTCCCAGCGGTAAAAATACACATTATGTACTCGCTTATCTAAGTGATATTTCGTGGCAGTCAGTGGTGATGCTTTCACTTATTCTTCCACTTAGGTTTAACATAAAAGTGTCCTAGGCTGCCTCATCGATGTGCTCTCGCTTAGAATGTAAGCCACAATATTATTAAGACAATTTAAAATTTCACTTACATAATGTGTGGAGTTCTAAGCGAAGTTAATGAGACTCCTATAAACGCTTGCAAATAGGAATGTAATGTATGTAGATTACAATCCTATTTGCATTTGTAAGTTAAAGTATTTTGTTATTGAATAAATATATATTTTTTTATATTTATTTTAAAATTATGCAAGTTTATTTAAAAATTATCATCAAAATTATAGTTAATTCAATAAAAATATAATTAAACAATTTTAACGAAGATAAATGAATCTTAATTTTCTTTTGAAACTTTCGGCCATCTTCCTTTACAGATCCTGTAAACAATCAAGAGGAAATTGTCAGTAGTTGTGTTTTGTTGCTAACGTTCAAAGGCAAAGTGCTACCAATTCAAAAATAAAAATACAAATATTAATGTGTTTATTTATGTCAAACAATAAAAAAATATTTTAAAATAAAATTTAAATCAAAGAAAATTACCAAATAAAAAAACCTTTTCAAGAAATTGTAAATAATTTCAAGATTTAGCAGATTTCTTCTGTGGAGTGATGCCAAGTCAGGTAATGTTCGTTTTGTTGCTAACTTTAAGCGTTAACACTCAGTGATAGCAACAAAACACAACTAGTATTAAAACTAGAATATGTATATGATTAGTGTTTATAAAAAACCGACTTTTGGAAAATCCGGTTTTTCGGTTAACCGAAAATTAACCATTTCTAGAAAACCGGTTTGTCGGTTAACCGAGTATAAAAAAACCGTTTAAACCGGTTAACCGAAATTTTTGGAAATCTTTAAAATATTATAATACATATTTACTTGAAAAATTTCATTTTGCGAAATATTATGAATTACTTAATAAGATACTTGCACTTTTTAGTATAGATATGTACATTAATATTTCATAAGAAAACAAACTTATACAGATCTGAAGATATTATTGATTCTATTATTCTATTATTGATCTTTGAATATATAATGCTTCTATATCAATAAAAAAATTATGTCCAGGACTATCAAGTATAAATAGTGTTCAGGATCGCGACGATTCATCGGGAACGGAAGTAGACGACGACTGTCTCGACATAGACATTGAGCCCCTGCTTTAATTGTGACCTCCCTCCACTCGGTACGTCTGTGGTTGTTCAAATTACAGTGAATGACGCTTAGGAATATTGACAGGCGTCATCCTGACTTCCTGTTAATCAACCTAAGCGCCATTACAGTTTGTGAAAAACCCCAGCAGCATAAATTCTCGGACAGCAACAACAATCCTTATGTTTCGATAAATAAGGTCCGTTTTGAGAACGTTTGAGAAACTTCTCGATTTTTATTATACTCACGCAGTAAACAAATAAGTGCATCCTGAATTTTATCATCAAAGTTATTTATTCGTCTTTATAGAAAACAAATTTCTTCATATAATGGTTGGTATTTGTTTAAATAGTTAATTTTTCATTGATTTAAATGCCAACTTTTTACTAATTTCCTGATTGTCTGAAATTGTAAATCTCCGTCTTATATACATAATATATGTTTAACATTTCCTACCATTTATTTAACAATCTTCATATGCACAAACGGAAAATAATGTCTAGAATTATCTATCCAAAATTTTTAAAAATCACAATAAAAAATCGAAAACATACAATTTTGTACTCAAAATTAGATTTTTTGAAACCGGTTAATCGAGACTTAAAAACCGAATAACCCGGTTAACCGAAAACCAATGTTTTAAAAAAAACCGGTTTGCGAAAAACCGAAATATGCAATAAAAACCGTTTTTTCGGATAACCGGTTTATAAACACTATATATGATGTAAATTTACCCCAATTATTTTAAATTTTTACTATAAAAAAATTTTTTTAACAAAACACAACTTAACTTACAAAAAATCAACTTTAAACTGAAACAAAAAGATTCTTCATTTTAGGCAGTATACAAAAGAGTGCTATATTCGGCTGAGCCGAATCTTAAATACCCTCCACCAGCAACTTTTGTATTAATACATTTCTAATTAATAAAATATTTGTAGAAATAAGTTTTCTCATGTCTTAAATAGAAAAATCCCAAGATTTAAGTGATTTTCGGGAGGGGACCTTGTATGGGAGCTATGACCAATTATGGACTGATCGAAAAAAATTTTCACAGTAATATTTCTGTGCACATGAGTAATACTTGTGCCAGATTTTATATTGATATCTTAATTTAGTAATGAGTTATGCGCGTTTAAGTGATTTTCGGGAGGGGACCTTGTATGGGAGCTATGACCAATTATGGACCGATCGGAAAAAAATTTTCAGTAATATTTCTATGCATATGGGCAATACTTATACCAAATTTTATATGGAGATCTTAATTTAGTAATGTGTTATGCGCGTTTAAGTGATTTTCGAGAGGGGACCTTGTATGGGAACTATGACCAATTATGGACCGATCGGAAAAAAATTTCACAGTAATATTTCTGTGCATATGAGTAATACTTGTACCAAACCCTATATGGATATCTTAATTTAGTAATGAGTTATGCGCGTTTAAGTGATTTTCGGGAAGGTTCCCTTGTATGGGAGCTATGACCAATTATGGACCGATCGGAAAAAAATTTCGCAGTAATATTTCTATGCATATGGGCAATACTTGTACCAAATTTTATATGGATATCTGAATTTAGTAATGAGTTATGCGCGTTTAAGTGATTTTCGGGAGGGGACCTTGTATGGGAGCTATGACCAATTATGGACCAATCGGAAAAAAATTTCACAATAATATTTCTGTGCATATGAGTAATATTTGTACCAAATTTTATATGGATATCTTAATTTAGTTATGAGTTAAGCGCGTTTAAGTGATTTTCGGGAGGGGACCTTGTATGGGAGCTATGACCAATTATGGACCGATCGGAAAAAAATTTCACA